CATTGTTAAAATGTCTATGCTACCCAGAGCAATCTATACCTTCAATGCCATCCCGATCAAAATTCCAATGACATTTTTCAAAGTGCTGGAACAAACAATCCTAAAATTTGTATGGAATCAGAAAAGACCCCGAATCGCCAAGGAGATGTTGAAAAAGAAAAACAAAGCTGGGGGCATCACGTTGCCCGATTTCAAGCTGTATTACAAAGCTGTGATCACCAAGACAGCATGGTACTGGCACAAAAGCAGACATACAGACCAATGGAACAGAATAGAGAACCCAGATATGGACCCTCAACTCTATGGTCAAATAATCTTTGACAAAGCAGGAAAAAACATGCAATGGAAAAAAGACAGTCTCTTCAATAAATGGTGCTGGGAGAATTGGATAGCCACATGCAGAAGAATGAAACTTGACCATTCTCTAACACCATTCACAAAGATAAACTCAAAGTGGATGAAAGACCTCAATGTGAGACAGGAATCCATCAAAATCCTAGAGGAGAACATAGGCAGTAACCTCTTTGACATTGCCCACAGCAACTTCTTTCAAGATACATCTTCAAAAACTAGTGAAAGAAAAGCAAAAATGAACTTTGGGGACTTCATCAAGATAAAAAGCTTCTGCACAGCAAAGGAAACAGTCAACAAAACAAAGAGGCAACCCACAGAATGGGAGAAGATATTTGCAAATGACACTACAGATAAAGGGCTGGTATCCAAAATCTATAAAGAACTTCTCAAACTCAACACCCAAAAAACAAATAATCAAGTCAAAAAGTGAGCAGAAGAGATGAACAGACACTTCTCTGAAGAAGACATACAAATGGCTAACAGACACATGAAAAAATGTTCATCATCATTAGCTGTCAGGGAAATCAAAATCAAAACCACACTGAGATACCACCTTACACCAGTTAGAATGGCAAAAGTGGACAGGGAAAGAAACAACAAATGTTGGAGAGGTTGTGGAGAAAGGGGAACCCTCTTACACTGTTGGTGGGAATGCAAGTTGGTACAGCCAACACTTTGGAAAACAGTGTGGAGGTGCCTCAAAAATTTAAAAATAGAGCTACCCTATGACCCAGCAATTGCACTCCTGGGTATTTACCCCAAAGACACAGATGTAGTGAAAAGAAGGGCCATATGCACCCCAGTGTTCATAGCAGCAATGTCCACAATAGTCAAACTGTGGAAAGAGCCGAGATGCCCTTCAACAGATGAATGGATAAAGAAGATGTGGTCCATATATACAATGGAATATTACTCAGCCATCAGAAAAGATGAATACCCAACTTTTACATCAACATGGATGGGACTGGAGGAGATTATGCTAAGTGAAATAAGTCAAGCAGAGAAAGTCAATTATCATATGGTTTCACTTATTTGTGGAACATAAGGAATAACATGGAGGACTTTAGGAGAAGGAAGGGAAAAATGGGCGGGGGGATTTGGAGGGAGAGATGAACGATGAGAGACTATGGACCTGAGAAACAAACAGCGTTTTAGAGGGGAGGGGGAAGGGGGATTGGTTAGCCCGGTGATGGGTATTAAGGAGGGCACGTACTGCATGGAGCACTGGGTGTTATACGAAAACAATGGATCATGGATCACTACATCAAAAACTAATGATGTGGGGCACCTAGGTGGCTCAGTCGGTTAAGCCGCTGCCTTCGGCTCAGGTCATGATCCCAGGGTCCTGGGATCGAGCCCCACATTGGGCTCCCTGCTCAGCGGGGCGCTTGCTTCTCCCTCTCCCTCTGCCTGCCTCTCTACATACTTGTTCTCTCTCTCTGTCAAATAAATAAATAAAGTCTTTAAAAAAACAAAACAAAACAAAAACTAATGATGTATTGTATGGTGACTAACATAACATAATAAAATTAAAAACTACAAAAAAAAAAAAAAGAACCATCACCTCATTGGAAATGAAGATAGTTGAGAGATGGATGCAAGACTGAGGTCAGAGAAGTAAGGAGGCTATTAAAAATTTTCAGGAATAGGTATTGATGGTCACATGCAAGATATTGGTAATAGAAAAGAGAGGCAACTATGGATTAGAAAAAGATTTTTATAACAAAATTTATTGCATTTAGTGGATGATTGGATATGGAAAATTTCAAAAAAAAAAAAAAAAGGAAGACAGGATGCCTTGGGATGGCTAGAAAGAGATTTAGAATTTAGGAGTCTGATTTCTGAGATTTCACATAGTTCATGTTACCTCTACACCAAACTTTAGTTTCATGTTCAAACATTTGTAAATAGTTTTGCTGTCTTTTGGGTACTGATCATTTTGTCATATTAGATTTTATTTTTAAAGAAAAGGTAGGAATACTGAGGTTGCCATCATTGGTGTATCAGTCTTCAGTGTTACATGCCCTCTGATCTTATTTTTTCTTTCCAATTTAAGAGCTCTCTCTATTTTTCTTTTGATATCACCTATTCTGAGTGGTTTAATACTTAATATATGCCTATATAGTAAATAGCTTAGAATAAATATATTTATATTGAATATAATGGTGCTATTCAAATGTTATTAAATGTAATAGCTAAGTGTCTCAGATGCCATAAATTCACTATAAAAATGAATCCCTTTTAATTAAATGTTTGCATTTGTTTGCTCATTCCTCAAGCCCATACTCAGCTCAATTATATCATCATTCTTTTGATTATTTGCTGTGGCTCAGAATAAGTCTTGGAAATATAAAATTAGACCAATGCCTTCTCACCAGATCTCACAAACAATATTAATGAATGTCTCCTACTTGTCAACGTGCTGTTTAGATGCTATGGGGCTACAGATGGGTTCAAAGTCTAGTAAGTAAAATGGGCAGATTAAGAAATACTGTAGGTATGCATATAAGGCTCATTTTTCTAAAAATAAATACTCAAAAGAAAGGTTCTCTTTATATTTGGGTCTTTATAGAGTATCTCATATTATTAGAGTTCTCCCATTTTCTTTGTTATGAATAATGAGATAATTTAACATCTTAAATGTTACTTCAATACTGTGTACATTTTTGCCATAATACAAATCTGAGATATGTCTTTTGCATTTTACATTTGCAAGAGATGGTTTAGTTGTTAATCTGTGATTGTTAAGCTTCCCAAATCGAAAGTTTAGTAAAATAATTTCTATGATTCCATATATAATAAATGCTCATCTGAGAATTTCTCTTTTAAAGAATTTTTTAATACTAATTATAAGTCTGGAATTCTTGAAGACTTTTTTTTTTAGTTCTCAAGGAGTAAGATTCTTGAAATTTAAAAGGGAGAAAAAGGTAGTTCTTTAAAATTAAGGTTGTTGAAATATCTGGTCTCTTCATGAATTCCCAAAGAATTTAGGTTAAATCTATAGCAGTAATATTAATATCTTCACTTCAAAAAATGATTGGTTTTGTAATTTTTAAAACATCAAGTGGAAATAGATATGATGAATAGTAAACTCCACAAAATCAAATATTTTTATCCTTTATTAAAAGATTTTGATGTTTTGGGGTGCCTGGGTAGCTCAGTTGGTTAAGCATCTGCCTTCAGCTCAGGTCATGATCTCAGGGTCCTGGGATCCAGTCATGTGTTGGGCTCTGTGCTCAATGGGTAGTCTCCTTCTCCTTCTCCCTCTGGCCCTCCCCTGGCTCGTGCTCTCTCTCTCTCTCTCAAGTAAATAAACAAAATCTTAAAAAAAAAAGATTTTTATATTATGCAGTATTGAAGTAATTGCTGTATTTTTCAGCAAAAAAGAAAAAAACAAATTCACTTATTCTAAGTGTAAGTGAGCCTAAGGAATTTGGGAGTGGCAAATTAACAAGGGACCATGATGGAGTTATAATTTAATTTCAAGTTTATAGTGATTTGAGGAACAGAACAAGAGAAAACAACAGTGCAAAAATGTTTATAATCAGTGAAAAGAATGAAAGATGGTATAAGCAGCGAGATGCCTATTTTAATTAGAAAAGATTAGGACGTTTGAGTACTTGAAGAATATGAGGCTCAATAAAATTAGTACTGAATACAAGAAAATATGTAAATACTGGGAAATTAAGTTTATACCCTTATGTTCAGAGTTGTATTTTTGAGCATGTATGGAAATTATAAGTTAATATTAAGTCATGTAATAGATGGTGGTATAGCATGCTATTAGAACCCAGAAGGGATCATATCTATCTGCCTTGGAAACTGTGGAAAGGTTTCACAGATTTGATAAGCCAAACTCTATATGAATAGGAGGATTAATCTGGTTTTAAAAAATGAGGTTTTTGAGACAGAGAAAACTATATTCTCGGATTCCTTAAGGGATTCCTTAAGGGGGGACTTGGTCTGAAAAACAAAAATAGAAACAAGAAAAAAACCTTGGTGGTAAGACTTAAACACTTAGGACGCGTAATGCTGTAACTTTTTAACTTTTTGTAAAGCAAGAACCGAACTGCGTATTTTACGGAACTCTTATTACGTGGTCATTTTTAATTCCTTGGTTTGCTACCCATCTCACAACCCTGTAAACATCCATCAGAGATCCAAAATTGCAGGAAGATGGAAGCTTATACATAGAACCTTGTCTAATGTGGTCAGAGTACCTTCTTTATATTAGAAAGAGAAATAAAGCCAAACTCCATTCACATTGTGAATGTGATTTGATCTTAATTGCTGGAAGTTACATTGCAGAATGTTCTGCAGTTTATTTCAATACATTTAAACTCTCCTTAAAACTTAGAAGCTTTTCAAATTACCTTATTATCTCAGAATTAAAACTTAACTTATACTCAGTTGGTTTCTGACTTTTATGTGCTATCTCCTTTAGTCATTATACCAATTCTGTGGATAAGCATCATCCTGTATTTTGTGTTGTGGAAACCAAAGTGAGGAGAGTTTAGTAACTTTACCAAAATCGCAGGGCTAGAAAGCAAAGGAGCCAGGAATATAGGTCTTGTCTGAATACAACAAAGCTCTCTGGATGGTATCATTCTTCTAACTTTTGATCTTATTTCTACCTTCTTTCATAGGAATTATTTTGGAGAAAAAATTGCCATGTATTTTGTCTTTCTTGGATTTTACACCGAAATGCTGTCCTTTGCAGCTATAGTTGGCTTAGCTTGTTTCATTTACGGCTTATTATCAATGGATGGTAACTCAAGCAGGTGAGTGCAACTGAATTGCCCAAACAGAGAGAACATCTCGCTGTTATACTAACTGAGACTGTTGTTATTATTTCCCTGGCATGTTCTCAGAATGTTTCCTGATGGCAGGTAGATAATTGATATTTTTGAGAGAAAAACAAAACAAAACGTAACAGTTGCCCCTCACCTGGTGTTTTATGGAAAATCTGTTTTTAATGATCAGCTGTAAATATTCTGTTTCTCAAAACATGACTTGACCAACGACAAATTGCTGCTTTATTACCCCTCCGCCATATGTGAGAAGCTGTATAGACAGTGGTTCTGTCACCTGAAAGCACATCACTTTGAAAATAACTTTGCTGTTCCCTCTGCAGCACTGAGATCTGTGACCCTACAATTGGAGGTCAGATTATCATGTGTCCACTCTGTGATCAAGTGTGTGATTATTGGAGACTAAATACCACGTGTTTGGCTTCAAAGGTATGTATGCATTGTGGAACGATGAAAAGACTTGGAATTTCTCTCTTTTTGTATCGCATTTGATACACTAAGTAGCCTTTGTGATGTTATTGCTGTTTTTACAGATCTCCCATTTATTTGATAACGAGTCAACAGTGTTCTTTGCAATATTCATGGGAATTTGGGGTGAGTAAATAGTCATATAAAAAAACAACTTTCTCTAGGTTATGTGTTATGTGACCCATCTGTATAACATATATCTAACATATACAGATGGCATACCTTATACACCAAAAGTGATTTTGGACCTTTGTGTCTTTGCTAGCTAGCATCAGTACACTGATGGAGTCTACATCGGTGGTCTGTAGTCCTTGGTCCTTGGTCCAAAAAGGTCTTTATTGATCGTCTCTTTATTTCTCTGAGAGATAATATCATTTTTGAAACTTTGTATGCATTCAGCTCATACTGTCTCCCAGCACTATGGTAAAAAAACCAGCTCAATAAGTACTTAATGCAGGAGAGAATACACATAAATATGTGTTGGCTGGATGATATTGAATCATGGGCACAAAGCTGAACAAGAATCAAAAACTGTTGAGGGCTAATAAATCCATGTTTGAATCTAAATTTCCTGTGTATAATTCTGGTTCCAGCTTCCAGTTCCGTTTGTTAAGAATCTTCCATGTAAAGTAGAATTCCCCTTAATTTTGGAAATGTCCCAGTATTTCATCTTTTTCATTTTACATGAGAAACAGAGGTGTCATGAAGTTGTTCCTGCCATCAGTGAGGAAAATATTTTATGTAAGAGTAACTCAGCAGGAGGAAGCCTGAAGACTTCTAAAACATGTCCCAAATTTCAGGGGACTCTGGGAAAAAATATACTTTTTTCTTTCCAACTTGAAAAAAAAAGTCTTCAACAATATGTACATTTGAAAACTGGGCAAGAGAACAAGGGTAGCTTAATCCAGGCAAAAAGACACCAAAACATGGGGATATGGGTGTGAAGCAGAGGGATTTAGCAGAGCTAAATGCAGAGCTGCTATGTGAAGAGAGCAGCCTAGATTTAAAGAACAGAGGACAGAGAGATCTTACTAACAATCCTCTAATTACCCCAACTTTGCTAAGTCCAGCTTTTATCGTATGGCTGCCAAGTCCTTCCTCTATCATTACTCGGAATGAACAGTGCATGAGAGGTGCACCAATTACAGCAAATACAATAGTTTGCAGTTGTTTCCAATGAGAGAGATTGTGCACCCACTGCAACCTTCTATTTCATCACAGAAGCCGCCATATGTGGAACATACAGACCTTTGTGTGTGTGAAGAGGTGCTACCATCAGTTCTCTGGGAAAAGTTTACTCTAGTAGTGAATTGGTTCACCTTTGCTTTTTGAGGATCGTGGCCAAATTTGAGTCCTTAACACATTCTAGGTTAAAGGAACAATACTAGTCCTTATCACTATGTAATGATTTTCTTTGCCTCTTATTATAGCCTTTGTCTAAAGTCTATTTTGTCTGATAGAAGTATAACTAACCTTGCTTTCTTTTGGTTTCCATTTGTACTGAATATCTTTTTTCATCCCTTCCCTTTCAATATGTATGTCCTTAAAGCTGTAGTGAGTCTCTTGCAGTTCACATATAGTTGGGTCTTGTTTTTTACTCATTCAGCCATTCCAAGACTTTTGACTGGAGAATTTAGTTTATTTCCATTAAAGTCATAATTGGTAGGTGTGGACTTACGTTTGCCATTTTAATTTTTTTTCTGGATGTTTTATAATTTCTTTGTTCCTTCCTGTCTTGCCCTCCTGCTTTGGGCAATGATAATTTTCTCTAATGGTATGCTCATATTCCTTTCTTTTTATCTTCTAGGTATCTGTTATAGGTTTTTGCTTTGTGAATACCACAAGGCTTATATAAAACATCTTATAGTTAGGAATAGTCTATGGTAAGCTAAGACAGATTAACTTTGAATGCATGCTAAAGTTTGGTATTTTTACTTTCCTCTCCGTTTTTTATGCTTTTGATGTCACAATTTACATTTTTTGTCTTGTTTATTCATTAACCAGTTATTGTATAGTTATTTTTACTACTTTTTGTCTTTTAACCTTCATACTAGTTTTATAAATGACTTACCCATTCCCATCACATTAAAGTATTCTGAATTTAACTATATATAACTATATATTTATCTTTACTAGTGAGATTTATATTTTCATATGTTTTCATGTTACTAATTAGCATTCTTTTATCTCATATCAAAGAAGTCCCTTTAACATTTCTTATAAGGCCAGGCCATCTTGGTGGTGATGAACTCCTTTAGCTTTTGCTTGTCTGGAAAACTCTTTATCTCCTCTTCAGTTCTGAAGGAGAGCTTGCCGGTTAGAATATTCTTGGTTGGCAGTTTTTGTTTTTCAGCACTTTGACTATATCATGTCACTTCTTCCTGGCCTGCAAAGTTTCTCCTGAAAAATCTGCTGATAGTCTTATGATGGTTCCCTTGTACATAACAAGTTGTTTTTCTCTTGTTGTTGTAAGATTCTCTCTTTGCCTTTACCTTTTGAGAATTTAATTATAGTGTGTCGTAGTGTGGGTCTTTTTGGACTCATTTGGAATGCTTTTGGCTTCCAGGATTTGATATATCTCCTCCTTCCCCCCGCCGCCATGTTAGGGATGTTTTCAAACATTATATCTTTGAGTAAGTTTTCTGCTCCTGTCTTACCCTCTTCTCCCTTTGGGAGCCTATAATATAAATGTTGGTCAGCTTGATATTGTCTCCTAAGTCCCTTAAGCTGATTTCACTCTTTTTTCTTTTTGCTCCTCTGTGAATTCATCACTGCTTTGTTTTCAGTTTTGCTGATCCTTGCTTCACTTGATCTAATCTTCTGTGGAATCACTCTACTGAAATTTTTAAGTACAGTATTGCATTCTTCAGCTCTCTGTGTTTATTACTTTTTTATATTTTGTCTCTTTGTTCAGATTCTCACTTTGTTCACACATTGTTCTTCTGACCTTGGTAAGCATCTTTTATGACCATTATTTTGAACTCCCTATCAGGTAAATCATTTATCTTCATTTCATTAAGGTCCTTTACTAAGGTTTATTTTCTTTTTCTTTTTGTTTTGTTGTTGTTGTTTGGAACATATTTCTGGGTTTCTTCATTTGCTTTGTCTCTCTGTGTTGGTTTCTGTGCATTAGATAAAACAACTACCTCTCCCAGTCCTGACCATGTGATCTGGTATAGGAGATGAATCTTTTTGATCAATCCAGTCTGAACTCTTGGTCATCTCTCTAAACTCTGTGATTATCTCCACTGCCTTCTTTGTTCTTAGTGGTTCCCAGTATTTGGGGGTATGCCAAGACCTGTCAGTGTCCCAAAGGGGGAAGATCTCAATCAGCACCTAGATGCAGCCTGACTAGGGAAGCCAAACCTTTAGGAAGCAGCTTCTAAGTATGCAAGTAGATCTCCTTCAGGGAAATATTGGAATACTAAAACACTGCTTAATTATACTATGCTCTTAAAACTTTGTTCTCCTAGTAACAATGTATCTACTGAACACATGAGTAAAGAAATGAATAAATGAGTAAAAGCCATCTGTCTCAGTCAGTATTAAATTAAAAAGTGAATAAATCGGGCACCTGGGTGGCTCAGTCGGTTAAGCGACTGCCTTCGGCTCAGGTCATGATCCTGGAGTCCCGGGATCAAGTCCCACATCGGGCTCCCTGCTCAGCAGGGGGTCTGCTTCTCCCTCTGACCCTCTTCCCTCTCGTGCTCTCTGTCTCTCATTCTCTCTTGCAAATAAATAAATAAAATCTTTAAAAATAATAATAATAAAAAAAAATAAAAAGTGAATAAATAAATGAGTGAAATATAACCTGTTCTTAAGAAGGTCACAATCTAATTTGGCCAGAATCCAATACATGCTCTCATTAAATTTTAAGTGCTGAGGAAGTACAGAGGAGGAAGGAATTATTTCTTGACTAGAGGAATTGAGATAACTATGGAAGATATGGAATTTGTTTTGGTTTTTTTAAAAAATAAGATTTTGATAGGGAAAAAGGGTGGGAAAGGATAGAACAATCTGATGTGAGCATTAGCTTATCCTCTATGCCTTCATTGTAATGAACCGTCTCTGAGAGTCCCTTTAAGCTGAAGGTTTTGCCAACGTCACTTCCTGTGGGACATCATCCTCTTCCTCACAACTGCTTTCTTCATTTATGGCAGTAAGATTGCCTTTGCTAGATTTCTCTGGCTCTATGTGTAGTCTCTCAAATGGCAGCAGTGTCAATATTCTCAGAGTCCTCTATTTCTTTCTTTTTTTTTATTGTTATGTTAATCCCCATACATTACATCATTAGTTTTAGATGTAGTGTTCCATGATTCATTGTTTGTGCATAACACCCAGTGCTCCATGCAGAACGTGCCCTCCTCAATACCCACCACCAGGCCAACCCATCCTCCCACCCCCTCCCCCCCAGAACCCTCAGTTTGTTTTTCTCAGAGTCCTCTATTTCTTCTGTAACTCCATTTATGCTTTATTTGTTAATCACTTTTTATTCCTTGCTATACTTTCGTCCTTGTTGATCAGTACTATCTTTTGATAACCATTTTTGTAAAATGTCACATGGAAGACAAGGAGAAAACAAATGGATGCTTTGCTCTCTGTGCATTAATGGAGTAACAGATATGTAGTGGTTCAAACACCAGCAGCATTTAACGTGATGTGATTGGTCACTAATCATGCTATACATCTGCTATTTATATAGTGATTTGTGGTTTGAAGAACTAACAGCAAAATTTGTACTTTATGCAACAGTTCACAATTAATTTACTGCAGTACCTGAACTTTGAGTCATGCTGGGGGACTTGTGTTATATAACTAACCCATGGAAACTGGAACATGCATACTGTAACCACGCAAAGCAAACAGTATCTATATTTCTAAATATTTGGAGGAATAATATAATAAGCCATCCCATGCTCATGGATTGGAAGATTTAATATTATTAATTTTTCCATACTACCCAAAGTGATCTAAATATTCAATATGATCTCTACCAAAATCCCAATGGCATTTTTTAACAGAAATGGGAAAAACAACTGAAAAAAGTTCATGTAGAATCACAAGAGTCTTGAAGTAGCTGGGTCAGTCTTGAGAAAGAGCAAAGCTGGAGACATCACACTTCTTGATTTCAAAATTGCAAAGCTACAGTAATCAAAACAATATGGCACTGGCATAAAGACAGATATACAGACCAGTAGAACAGAATAAAGTTCAGAAATAAACCCATACATATATGGTTAACTAATCTTCGACAAGATTTCCAAGAATACACAATGGGGAAGGGATAGTCTCTTCAACAAATGGTGTGGAGAAATTGGATATCTACATGCAAAATAATGAAATTGAACCTTTATCTTACACTATACACAAAAATCACTTCAAAATTGGATAAAATCTTAAATGTAAGACCTGGAACTATATAAAACTCCTCAAAGAAAATTTAAGGAAAAACTTCATGACACTGATCTTGGCAGTTATTTCCTGGACATAACACCAAAGCCCAGGTAACAGAAACCAAAAACAAGTTGGACTGCATCAAGCTAAAAAGTTTCTGTGCAGCATAGAAAATGGCAGAGTGAAAAGACAACCCATGGAATGGCAGAAAATATTTGCAAATCATATCTCTGATAAGGGGTGAATCTCCAAAATACTTAAGGAACTCCTGAAACTCAATAGTGAAAAAACCCAGGGCGGTTAGGCATCTGACTCTGTTTCGGCTCAGGTCATGATCTTGCAGTCGTGGAATCAAGCCCTATGTCAGGCTCTGTGCTTAGTTTGGAGTCTGTTTCAAATTCTTTCTCCTCTCCCTCTGCCCCTCCCCACTCATGCTCGCTCTCTTTCTCTCTCTCTCTCAAATAAATAAATAAAATCTTTGAAAAAATAGTGAAAAAACCCTAATAACCTGATTTTAAAATGGACAAAGGACTCAAATAGACATTCTCCAAAGAATATATACAAATGGCCAATAGGTATATGAAGAAATGCTTAGTGTCACTAGTTACCAGGGAAATGCAAATCAAAACCACAATGAGATGTCATCTCACACCTGTCAGGATGGCTATTACCAAGACAACAAAAGACAAGAGCTGGTGAGGATGTGGAGAATTATAATAAATTTTTGTACATTGTTAGTGGGAATGCTAAATGGTACAGCTGGAAAACAGTATGGAAATTCCTCAGAAAACTAAAAATAGAACTACTATATCCAGCAATACCACTTCTGAGTATTTACTCCAGATAATTGAAATAAGGATCTTGAAGAGATGTTGGGACTCCTATGTTCACTGAAGCACTATCCACAATAAGCGAGAGGTGGAAACTACCTAAATGTCCACATTGACAGATGAATAGATAAAGAAATTGTGGTATATAAATACACCACATACTGTTGGTATATACATTTGATATGCTATTCACCCTTGAAAAGAAGGAAATTCTGCAATAGGTGACAATATGGATGAACCTTGAAGATATTATGGTCAGTGAAATATACCAGTTACAGACAGAGAAATCCTTCCTGATCCCATTTATATGAAGTATCTAAAATAGTCACATTTATAGAATCAGAGAGTAGAATGGAGATTATTGGGAATTAGTGGAGGTGAGGGAAAAAGGGAGTAACTAATCAATGGGCATATAGTCTCAGTTAAGTAAGATAAAGAAACTATAGAGAGCTGCTGTACAACCTTGTGCCTATAGTCAACAATAAGGTATTGTAGACTTAAAATTTGTTAAGATGGTAGAAAGCTGCTTAACTGTTCTTACAATAAAATAAATTTTTTTTAAAGGAGGAAAAGGGGCACCTGGGTAGCTCAGTCAGTTAAGTGTCCGATTCTTGATCTCAGCTCAGGTCTTGATCTCAAGGTTGTGGGTTCAAGTCCCGTGTTGGGCTCCATGCTGGGTGTGGATCCTATTAAAAAAAATTAAAAATTAAAAAAAAATTAAAAATTAAAATAAAAGCAAGCAGGGAATGTGTCAGATGAAACATTAAAATTTGAATCACAGGTGATAAAATTATAAGTTAATATTGATTGTGTTAGTATTCCATTCTTAGATATATACCCAAGAGAAAGGCATTCATATGCCCACCAGTAGATATGCACAAGAACATTCACAGCAACACTATTTATAATAGCAAAAAACCTAGCAATAGCTGAAACGCCCATGAACCTGAGAATAAACAAAATCGTGATTTACATAAATAATGGGATACTATACAGCAATGAAAATAAATGAACTTTTGCTATACACAGCAATATGGATTCAGTTTATAAGAAAAGTTGAACCAAAACAAAACCTAACACAAAGCTACCTATGGTATGTCACCATTTATGAAAAGTTCAAAGACAGGTGAAACTCTCCTATGATATTAGAAGCTAGGATACTAGTTACACTTACATCTTAGAAGAGTCATAAGGGAGGGCGCCTGGGTGGCTCAGTTGGTTAAGCAACTGCCTTCGGCTCAGGTCATGATCCCAGGGTCCTGGGATCGGGTCCCACATTGGGCTCCCGGCTCGGCAGGGAGTCTGCTTCGTCCTCTGAACCCTATCCCCTCTCAGGTGTTCTCTCTCTCTCATTCTCTCTCTCTCAAATAAATAAATAAAATCTTTAAAAAAAAAAAAAAGAAGAGTCATAAGGGAGTGTTTCTGGGGGTTCTGGTAATGTTCTATTTTTTGATATTGATGCTGATTACATAGGAATGTTCATTTTGTGAAAATTCTTTAAATTGTACCGTTGTGTTTTATGTACTTTTCTGTAAATATGTTATGATGCAATTGGAAGTTTATTAAAAATTATATGTATATATATATATAAAGAGAGAGAGAGGAAGAGAGACAGGCAGACAGAGACAGAGAGACAGACAGAGATTGTGCTATGGTAGGGGCTCTCATGTTTTCCTTAAATTTACCTAAGCCCGAAAAACTGGTATGATCACTTGAATGATTTCGCTAAAAAAAAAAACAAAAACAAACATGCAAGCCAAATCTAGGTTTTAGTAAAAAGTTAAGTTTAAATATTACTTCAGACTAGAGTAACGTGCCTGAAATGTTTTTTTCTTGAGTGGACTGCTACGAAATTAACTGGAGTGTTTTTTTTGTTTTTTTAAAGATTTATTTATTCATTTGAGAGAACGAGAATGAGAGAGAGCACATGAGAGGGGGGAGGGTCAGAGGGAGAAGCAGACTCCCTGCCGAGCAGGGAGCCCGATGTGGGACTCGATCCCGGGACTCCAGGATCATGACCTGAGCCGAAGGCAGTCGCTTAACCAACTGAGCCACCCAGGCGCCCTGGAGTTTTTATATATGCATTATTTCAATGTTATTACCTGCTATTAAGCCAACATAGTAGTGACAGAAGAACCATATTCAGCCAACATGGTTTTTTAAAGTCAAGGGGAAAAAAAGAGCCCCAGATTACTTTGTTATGGACTTTATTTCTCCATCCCTTGATTACAGTTGTTTTTACACATTTCTTTGTCTACAGTCACATTGTTTTTGGAGTTTTGGAAACAGCGACAGGCCAGAATGGAATATGAGTGGGACCTGGTGGATTTCGAAGAGGAGCAACAACAGCTCCAGCTGAGACCGGAATTTGAAGCGATGTGTAAACACAGGAAGATGAATGCAGTGACTAAGGTAGGTCAGGGCACTGACGGGCAGCATGTCTCAATGGAGTCACCGCTGTAGGTCGTCACACAAATAATAGTGTATATTTTAATGTGCCTTTAAAATATTTTCCAACATATAAAGCTTATAAACATCTTTCCTTGTTTCTCACACGTGTTTCAAACATACACAAATAAAGTAGAGGGTGCCCGGGTGGCTCAGTCAGTTAAGTGGCTGCCTTCGGCGAGGTCATGATCCCAGGGTCCTGGGATCCAGCCCCGCATCGGGCTCCCTGCTCGGCGGGAAGCCTGCTTCTCCCCCTCCCACTCCCCCTGCTTGTGTTCCCTCTCTCGCTGTCTCTCTCTCTCTGTCAAATAAATAAATAAAATCTTTAGGAAAAAAAAAAGTAGATGGAAAAGTATAACGAACCCCAGGATAGACCCATCACCCAGCTTCAAAGAATACTAATTCATGGACAGTCTTGTTTCATTTACAATTGCTCCTCCCTGCCACGAGATGATTTTGAAGCATATACAAGGCCTCATGCCATGAAATAACCTAGTTTTGTAATAAATAAAATAAAAGGAAAATGGAAAACAATGTGTATGCAGTGGACTTAGTATATAAATACATATGCACATGGAAATGATACTATGTTGATATACCAAAATTAAAATAGTATTGTATTAAGATAGTGAGCTTATGAGTGATTGTTTTATTAGACCTAATTTTATTCACCTAGTCCCTTTTAATTTATTATAATGGGAAGATCATTGCACTTGTGTCTGGATGGCAAAGTCTAGATTTGGGGTTCCTTCACTGGCAAATCACCTATATGTTGGTGACTGAGTAATTTGACTTCTTGGTACCTCTTTTTTTTTTTTTAATGTGAAAAATGCGAGGTACTTTGCCTTCAAAGACCAGACTCTTGACCGCATATTCTTAGCGTCCCTACCTTTCATCATCCATAATCACCGTGTGGCCTGACGCTGTTAAAGGGAGAATAGAGTATGCCTCTAACACAGTCTCTTCAGCAGAATTTCCCACTCTGTTCAGGGCACTATTCTTGTGGCATAATACTCAAAATTATTTTCGCAGTTTAGACATTTATGCATTCACTAAACATTAACTTTTAGTGGACATTACAAAAAATTCAGTAAATGAGCAAAGGGGAAAAACGCCTCGGAAAATACATTAACAACTTGGGTAGCTGTATGACATTAAGAAAATACATTAAAAGAGACATTGCCATGATAATGACATGATGTGTATCTATTCATATTTCATGGTATAAAAAGGAAACTAAAAGCAGGCCTAAAATCATTGCCATAAAAACAAGATGTGCTGAACGTTTACATTTGAAACCAGCTGAAAAACAATATGGATCAATTCACTGTGAGTCATCCGCTTGAATGGTTTTGAAATCAAGGTTTTTGACTTCCTTGCAGTGCTTCTTCAGCGGGTCAGGATGACCAGAGCTCTCACGTTTGAGTCTGTATTGGGAAACACATACATGTATGTATGGACACACATACACACGTGCATAAACAAATATGCACACACAAACACATACATATTGGACACACATGTATACACATGCACACACGTTGAGTAGAAACTCTGGGACAGCTATTCTGCCTGTCAAGTTCTGTTTGCATTCAGTCTTCCCTAAAAATCCTCAGGGTGTAAAAATCCTCCCTATCTAAAGGATAGGATTACATGATTTAGATTTCTGCTGACAGCTATTTTTTACTATATAGCAATTTTTTTGGGTAAGATCTCATTGCCTCCTGATATAGCTAAGAATTTCAGCTGATATAATGAATATCTTCCATTAATGAGTTAGACAAACATCAAGATAGAAAATTCTGGTCCCCTGAACTGTGTGGAAGAACACACAGAACACTAAATATAAAGATGGTGCCCTATTTGATATAATGTATAGCAATTATAGAGCAATGCAGTTCAATTCAGTTCAATTAGAAGAAAACTGTAATATTATTAAAGCATGTCCATGTAAGCAGCAGCCCCCAGGCTTTGACTTTGTTTCCCATCTACCAGGCCCTGAATACCACTCTAATTCAATCCTGAGGATATAGTGTGTATCCATTATGTTTCATACCCTGTGTGAAATATCTCACTTAAGAGCCCTGAAGGTCTCTCCTTGAAGGGAAGGAACCATTGCTAGAATGTAGCTGCCCATGAGCTGTAGTGGATTCTGGGGGAGGTTTCTAGTTTAACTGGGTTTTGTGGTTTTGACTACTGCTTGGCATCCCAACTTTGAGGGTAGATTTTGAATTTTGCTGTGATTTCTTCAAAATTGCAGGAGATGGAACCTTACATGCCTCTATGTAGTCGTCTTCCATGGTACTTTTTATCAGGAGCTACGGTGACATTATGGGTGAGCATTCTTGGAAAACTGCTCTCATCTCTTGATGTGCAATCATATTAGGATTAGCTCAGCAGTTTCATCTGCCATGGCTCTTGAGTCCCTCTCCCCTTTCTCCCCCTCTTTTGGCTTTTTATTTTGAATAGAGCTCCTATGTAAAATCAAGTGTGATCCACATGGATGTGCCATAATTGAACCTTGGAGAAAGAGCTCGGGGAGAGACTGGTGCCTCATCTTAGAGCCTGCCCCTCCCCCTCTCCCAGCAACCAGAACAGTGCAACTGATAATTGTTTGCAGGCCATTTGGGTTTTGTTTCCTTAAAAAAATCATTAATTTATCTTTATCTCCACTTAAAATATCTACACAAAATGCAGAAGAAAAGCATATACTCTTAAAATTTATTTTCTTGCTGAAATAAATAGAAGAAAGTACTACTACTTGAAGAATTTAATTAGCGTGTCCCATTGTGAGGGAGCCAGATTTTTCCATGCCTTTTAGTTAATAGATTCCTCCATCACCACAATTTATTTCCTGCCCTCCAACTTTCCAAATGTGTGTCCTCTCACAGTTGGCCTTGAATTTTAAGGAAAAGAAGCAATGTTAACCCTCTGAGAGTTTAACCTTACTAGAGTTTAACCTTACAGTTCATATTATCCCATAATATTTTATCTTTAACATTTCTAGTTAAAGGTATTGATTTTTCTCTTTTAAATGTGTGTTTTCTTAGATGATATAACAGTCACTGAGGAGAAGTGATAGAGTAAATAATACTCTATTAATAATAGAGCAATAATCAATTCAGGGCACTGCTTGAGAAATAATCTACAGTGTGGTCCCAGAAAGATTATTCTATCTTTTATTTCTAGTACTCATTCCATTTGATTCAATCCCTCAACTTTCACAATCAGATTTTCCAGTCATTGAGGTTAATGCATCCCCACATCTTTGGGTTTTTGCAATATGGGAAGTGTTTAAAATTTATATAGAATCTATACAAATATCTAAACTACCAGGCATATCAGAACACTAATGGCAACATTCTGAGGGGAAATGGAATAGAATCTCTAAATGTGTTCTTCTTGGGAAAGTACGTGGTCTTCACACTACCTGTTTAACTACAACCTAGGGCAGAGTTTGCATTGTGGAGGGGCCATGTGTATTTTAAGCTTTGTGGGCCACAAATAGTCTCTGCATGTAATCATCTTTGTTTTTTCATATAACCTTCAAAAAAAGCAAAAAGCCATCTTTAACTCAAGAACCATACAAGAGCGAGAAAAGCCACAGGCTGGATTTGGCCTTCGGGCTAGTTTTCCAACGCTTGGTAGAGGACAGTCCTAAAGGATGGGCAATGGCTACTTGTGTGTTTTAGACTCACCCAACCACAACCATATGCCTTGTCTTCTCTCCAACCCTTTTGCCTTGCCAGTGTTCTTTTCCTGCCATCTGTGGTGAGAGACTGGCTTGGTCTGCTTCCCAAGTCAGAGGGGCTAACCTTAACATAATGAGATGAAGAGAGTCGTATGTCTCAGGTGTGTGCATTGCAGAGATACAGAGACCAGGGTGATGGAGTCCTTGTTTCCCTTTTCCAGATGGCCCTTGTCATTGCGTGTATGGTAGCTGTGATTGTGTACCGCCTGTCAGTGTTTGCTACATTCGCTAGCTTCATGGAAAGTGAAGCATCCTTCAAGCATGTCAAAAGTTTCCTCACTCCCCAGATAACCACGTCACTCAGTGGATCCTGCTTGAACTTTATCGTCATCTTGATCTTGAATTTCTTTTATGAAAAGATATCTGCATGGATTACAAAAATGGGTAAGCTGGCTAGGTCATCGGTGTGACACTGAAAAAAATGTTCTACCAGCACTATATATCCATTTTGGGCCATTCCTCAGGGAGATCATTTTTAAAGGCACATGCTAAGCAGTTTTGTTCTGTAGGTAGACACATAGGCTGGTGGTAGTCAGATTCCCCTAATAGGCACATTTAGGTCCATTATGGTGGAAGCAAGAAAAAGAACTAAATGGAAGAATTAAGACTCTGTAGATCTTTCAGGGTATTCTTGTCTTAATCTTCCCTTGATTGGGCTAGTTGAATTTTAAGTAAAATCCTGACTTTTGTCAAGACACAGATAATTTTTATTTCATGTGTATGGTTTTGGAAGGTATTTGATTTTGAAAATCATTGCAGGAGAAACAAAACAATCAGCTCGTCCTGAGTAAATCTAAAATGTAGTACTTTTCAGTTGCCATAGGTCTTAGACCCTGGATTATTTTCCTTTTTAAAATTAATTAATTTTGAGAGAGAGAGAGAGAGGAGCATGTGTGCATGCTGTGGTGGGGAGGGGCAGAGTGAGAGGGAGAGAGAATCTTAAGCATCCTGGGCATGGAGCCCGAGGAGGGGGGGGTGAGATCACAACCCTGATATCATGACCTGAGCCAGTCAAGTCAGACACTTAACTGAGTCCCACCCAGGTGCCCCTCTTTTCCTTTTAAATTTTTTTTTTTTTTAAGATTTTATTTATTTATTTGCCAGAGAGAGACACAGCGAGAGAGGGAACACAAGCAGGGGGAGTGGGAGAAGGAGAAGCAGGCCTCCCGCTGAGCAGGGAGCCCGATGCGGGGCTCGATCCCAGGACCCTGGGATCATGACCTGAGCCGAAGGCAGACACTTAATGACTGAGCCACCCAGGTGCCCCTTGTGTTCCCTCTTTTGCTGTGTCTCTCTCTGTCAAATAAATAAATAAAATTTAAAAAATAAATAAGTAAAAATAAAAGTTCTCCTATAGCCATGAGGGATAGTAAAGGTGTCACAGTTGAAGTGGGAGATTCAGTCAGGGAGAGGAGTGTGGAGCACAGTTGCTTCTGGTCTTGCCCCCAGCAAGTTGGAAGTGGTTTCAGAGACTCCCTCCAGGCCTCAGCTTCTCTTCTGCATGCTCAGGTCCCCCCTCAAAATCAGTACACCATCTCTGTGCCCAACCGTAACCAGAAAGAGCACATTATCATTGAGCTTCAGAGTATGCACTAGGAAGCAACTTCCATTAAGTGCTATTTTCAGATTTGTAGTTCTCACTCAATTTTACTGCCTTTTTTTTTTTTTTTGGTTAATAAAAAAAAAATCTAGCAGATAAGCACTTAAAAACAAAGCATCTAAAAAAATCAGAGATTTCGGTGAGACACTTGTCTACACATTAGAGATTTTGTAAGAATGCAGCTGAATTTCACTAAAATGGAGGAATTTTCTGTGTCTTTAGAATAATATGTGTTACCATTTCAGTAGCATTGAAATTGTCACCAATTTCGCTAGATCAGCTCAGGCTGTTCGGAGATCATCAGCTCAGAAAAACATGCTTCCTGACTCTCTTACATCTCCAGATGCTTCTCTCTGATGTGAAGGGAATCTAATATTTTTTATCTTTGGAATTCACTAAATGTTAGATCATGATCATGCATTTTAAATAAAAGAGAGAGAAAGTGTATTATTACTGCCACCAATTGTATGACATTCTTTTCAAAATTAATACAACCATTTAATTCATGAGAGGAAAACACAATTTAGTTTGGAAACCATCCTCTGCCCTTGAAGATGCCCTTTACTTTGTTTAAACCTGATTGACAATAGACAAGAGAGAGAGATCTGATATGTTTACAGGATATCATAAAGTATACCAGGGTAAGCATAAGCCTCTCCAGTCTGATATGGGTTTGAATTCCATATTCTGACTATGTGACTCCATGTGAAGTATTTTATCCATCTAAATATAATAATAACTGCTTCCTAGTCTTCTCCAGTGATTAGATTAATACAAAGTCTCTAATTGAAAGCCAAGCACAAATCTGTAGTTACTTAATATTGGTCTGTTAGGACAAGAGTGGGTCGTATTTCAACAGGCTCTCAGAATAATATGACTAATAATATGACTTGTCCCAGACGATACAGAATTGAGGGAGAAACAGGAAGGTGCATAATTTAACTTTGGTGTTTTATTACTTAACAGAAATTCCTCGAACCTACCAGGAATATGAGAGCAGTCTTACCTTGAAAATGTTCCTGTTTCAGTTTGTGAATTTTTACTCGTCCTGCTTCTATGTAGCTTTCTTTAAAGGGAAGTTCGTGGGCTATCCCGGAAAATACACATACTTGTTTAATGTGTGGAGAAGTGAAGAGGTAAGAATTCTCTTGAGAGGCTTGTGGCTTCAGGAACTCAGTATTAGCTACATACTCGTTGTGTGCCCAGCACCAACTCAGATTTTATCAAGATTTAAGAGAAGTCTAAGACACTGACTCTCTCCACAGAGAGTATTGGTCTTACAATCCTGTCGTCTGGTAGACTTTCCAGTTCCTTTGGGGCAAACAGTTATTTTGTGCCTATTATTTAGGAATAAAATATGAGCTATGAAATGGGAAGGCGTCCTGCAAAGGATAAGCAATAGCGTTCCAGAAGTAGAGCAAGAAGGGCTCTACCATGGGTCATAGAGCGAGACCACATCAGTGGTTTCCATACCTGCCTTGCATCCAAATCACATGAAGAAAATAACAACTCCTAGCCTTGATCCTGATAGAAAGATGCAGGATTTTCTAACAATGAGACCCAGCAATCTGAATCTAATGCAGCTATCCTGTAACTGATTAGTGATCCTGCTTGAAACTATTGAGCTAAATATCTCTTTATATCCCTCTAATATCCATTCCCATCAAAATCTTCAGATTCTAGTCTTCAGGTCTGAGATTTCTTTTGTTGGCAAAGTCCATCTTTCATCGTTCACTTTTCTTTTTTTTCTTGCTTCTGACTAGTGTGATCCTGGAGGCTGTCTAATAGAATTGACAACCCAGTTGACCATCATAATGACTGGGAAACAGATCTTCGGAAATGTCAAAGAAGCCATTTATCCGTATGTATGACTTACAAGTTTTTCTTGATTCAAGTAGCCATGAGAGATTTCCTCTGGAAGAAGATGGAATTCTTTTATTATCATGGTAGCAATGTTAGCAAATGGTTAACTCAACAAAAACTCACTTTTAATCAACAGTTAGGAATGCACTAATGTAAAATAGGCTTTTAGATACGGATTTTTATTGCTTGAGTGAAGTTGAGGAAAAGGTATTATCCCCCTCTCCTATGGAGATTCCATTGGGAAATCTAAATGTTTTATCCTCTGTACATTATTCTATATGTTACATATTACTTCTCAAGATTACTAAAAGTTGAACTCCATAAAAATATTTTTGTGACATGGACACACTTAGGCACAAAAATTGGTCATGAATTAAGTTTTGGTATATGAAGGGATTGCTTCCTATTCCAAAAGCATAGCAATAATGAATATGTTATGAAATGAGAAAACCAAAATGACAGTTGATCTCAAATATAAGTTGAAAATTTCCATGAATAAAAAGGGAAAGAATCATAAGCCTGTCATCTTGCAGGGCTCCTAGTTAGGAAATGACAGCATCAAGGTTTAGCACCTGTAGTACCAAGTGGACTGAAGTGCTCCCCTTGAGACCAGGGCTTGGCCAGAGCAACTGTAGTGAAGGTAGGGATTAGGTTTATTCTCACCTCTTCATGAAAGAAGGTTGAAAACACCTTCCTCTTCTGCTCCCATCTCTCCCTGCAGTTCAGTAGTTCTCCTGGGGTACTATTTCATATGCGGACAAAGGAAGAACATGACATATCTTTGCAAACAGTATGTGATAAACCATATCCCAGTTACCATAGAGAAATAACGCTAAGCTATTATCTTAAGTCCCAACTGTAGATTGAGAACCTGGAGGGCAGAATGGGGATAACTCCTAAACCAAACACAAGAGGGAGAATAAATATTCACAGGAAGGAGAAGAGACAGACACACAGGGAAGTAAAAGAAAAAAGAAGCAAGTAAAATTAAGCCTACGAAACAAAATTCCAAAACTTATGAGGACATGTCATGCTACAAAGTCTACTAGCAAAATCAGTTTTTAGAAAGTGAACTTACTCTAGCTAGAAGATTCTGGCAAAGCCTAAAAACATAAAAGGAGGAGGCGTCTGGGTGGCTCAGTCCTTAAGCGTCTGCCTTCAGCTCAGGTCACGATCTCAGGGTCCTGGGATTGAGCCCTCCATCAGGCTCCTTGCTCAGCCAGGAGCCTGCTTCTCCCTCTCCCACTCCCCCTGCTTGTGTTCCCTCTCTCGCTGTGTCTCTCTCTGTCAAATAAATAAATAAAATCTTAAAAAAAAAACCAAAAACATAAAAAGAGGTGATACTGTCATTTAAAAGGGTCAGGAAATAATTTAAATAAGAACGGATATAAATGAAACAAGAACAAATTAATATGAAAAAGAACCAATTCTACATAAATGAAATATGGTACTTTATTTTTATTTTTATTTTTTTTAACTTTTTTTTTTATTCTTATGTTAATCCCCATACATTACAACATGAAATATGGTACTTTAAATAAAGAGTACAGTAGGTGACATTGATTGCAGATTGGACACAATTGAAGAATGAATTATTGACTTGGAAAATTGTACTGAGAAATTCCCTCATTGTACAATACAACAGAGTGACAATGAGATTTAAAAAATTGAAGTGACAGGAAGCTATATTATATTAAAAGGCTTCCATATTAACTTACTAGTAGTTCCAGAAAAAGAGAATTGAGTAAATGGTGGAGGAAAAAATTCTTTCACCAGTTCTTTCTTACCAATTCTCTAAATAGGTAATTGCTGAAAATTTTCCAGAAATGAAGAAAAACATAAGTTTCAGAAATGAGAAAGAATTTGGAGTATGAAGTAAGATAAGTAAAATTAAACTCACACTCAGATACATTATGGTGTAACTCCAGAACTTGAGAGCTAAACAATCCTAAAATCTTTCAGGAGAAAAAACAATATCATCTACACTGTCCACAGATTTCTTACTCCTTGCATTAGATACAGAAGACAGAGTATTTTCAAGATTCTGAGTAAAATTAATGTGCACCTTAGATTTCTAAAACCAGTTTAACTAATGTATAAAGTGCGGGTGCAACAAAGACAACTTTTAGACATAAAAAACAAGAGTTTATGTTCATAGACCATCACTGAAAGGTGTAGTTGAGCAAGAAAAGAATACAAAATGAAAATTTGGGATGCAAGAAACATTGATCAGTACAGAGGTAGTTAGCACCAAAAAAATGAAATACTTTGATATCAATCTAAAAAATATATGGGATTTGTATGCTGAAAACTACAGATCCTGATGGGAAAAAATTTTTTTAATGTATATGAATGGAGAGAAATGTTGTGTTCATGTATTGGAAGACTCAAATTAATAAAGATGCCAGTTAGCCCCCAAGTTGATATATAGATTTGTTATTCAAGTCATAATATCAGAAGAATTTCTTTCTGTGCATATAGACAAGCAGATTCTAGAATTTATATAGAAGATGAAGAGCTAAAATAAGGAAAACAATTCTGATAAAAAATAAAGTTGAAAAAATTGTACTACTCGATTTTAAGGCTTACTATAAAACTGTATTAATCAAGATGTTGGGATTGGTGAAAGGATACATATTTGTATTAATAGAACAGAGTAGGGATTGCAGAAATAAATCTACATAAATATGGCCATTTTATTTTTGACAAAGGTGCAAAATCAGCTCATTGAGGAAAGAACAGTCTTTTCAACAACTCGTGCTGGACCAATCGGACCTCCATTTGCAAAATAGCAAAACTTGTTGTAAACCTTACACCTCATTTAAAAATTAACTGAAAATGGATCATGGATGATCAAACCATATTTAGGAAAGCAAGAAAGTACTTATTATAAAATTCAAGATAATGGTTACTATGTGGGGACTGAGGAGTTAGTAAGAAGTGCTCCTGGGGTTCCCGGGAGATTTTTCTTGCTTAAACTGGGTGATCCCCTTTTCTTTGTGATTCCAGTTCCATGTATGCCCATCTGTTTGATATTGTCTGAAAAATCTCAGGTGTTCTGTGCTGTTCCTCTTTGTCTTTCAGTTTGGATATAAAGCAGCATGTAAGTGTCATTTTAATGTACATTTGCTATAGTACTTCAAATTTTACAAATTTGGAAAGCACAAATGGTATCTCACTTTGGTCTTATTTTGCATGTCCCTGATTAATAACACGAATGAGCAGTTTTAGCCACTGTGTTTCCTCTTCAATGAAATGCTTTTTGGTGTTGTTTAACCATTCTTCTACCAATTTATCCTTTTCTAATAGATTTGTAGGAATACTTTATAACTTCTGGTGACTGTTTTTGTTTGGGATTTGGTCATATGTGTTGTGTATATTTTATCCGAACATAAATTTTGTCTCTTTATTTTTCTCAACCCCAGCACTATTGACAATTTGGGCCAGATAATTCTTTGTTGTAGGGGGCTGTCCTCTGCATTGTAAGAGATTTAGCCGCATCCTTGGACTCTATACAGGCTAGATGCCAGTAGCCCACCCTCTCCCCAGCTGTGACAACCAAAAATGTTTCTGACATTGCTAATGTACCCTTGTGGGCTAAATCACTCTCTAGGGAACCTCTGGTATAGATGGATAAAAGAATATTCTTTTAATACAGTAGAATTTACCAATCTTTTCTTTTATGGGTTAGCATTTTTCAAGTCTTATTTATAAATCCTTCCCTACCCCAAGATCAAAAAGATGTTCTCATAAACTTCTAAATTTTTAACATTTTTACATTATTGTCTTTATCTTTTAAAGTTTGAATATACATGGAAAAGATTTTTGTGTTTGATAGGAAGTTCAAATTTAATTTCTTTCGCACATACACACAGATATGTAATTGTTGTGTTTACCATTTATCAAGAAGTTCCTCTTCTCCAGTCTTCATGATCTACAATACTACCTTATGCCATATAGCAAGTGCAAGGCTATACTAGGTTTCCATTCTGTTCCAGGATTTGTCTATCCTTGCACCAATACTACACTCTCTTAATTAATACAGCTTTATAATAAGTCTTGATCTCTGGTGGGTCAAGTCTTACCAACTTATTCTTGATCTATAGAAATATATTGGCTATCTTTTGTCTTTTGTCTTTCTGTACAGATTTTAAAAACATCTTGTCAGACCCCACATGGAAAAGTATTTTGGTTTTTTGATTGAAATTACATTTCAGTTGTTTCAGTAAAATAACTGGCATTTTCATAATACCAAGTCTTTTTATTTCATGAATGTTTATTTTGGACTTTAATGACTTTAAATATTTAAACTTCTGCATATAGGTCTTATAGATCTTTTGTCAAATCCATCTAAAGGTACTTTCAATTTTAGTTGCTACTGTAAATGATATCTTTTTCAAAATTATGTTTTCTACTTGTGTTTTGTGGGTACGTAGGAATAAAATATGTAGATAAACTCCGTTATTTTTTCTAATAATTCTTATATAACTTCATTTGGGTTTTCTAAGCAGGCAGTTCATTCACGTGACTGTTATTAATCTGAGTCAGAGATTTCTTCTCTTCATTTCCAATTCTTTTGCCTTTTTCTTTTTCGTCTTGCTGTGCTAAAATCTCCTGTAGATTCTCTCTTCTCTTTTTTTTTTTTTTGCAGAAAATTATTTATTAAATTGACCATGAATTCATAACGCTTGCTCGGCATAGTGCTACTTTATTGACGTAAGATGACTTCTTTTTTTTATTTTAATTTATGTAGTTAACATACAGTGTTATATTCATTTCAGGTGTACAATATAGTCATTCCATAATTCAATATATTACCCAGTGCTCATCAAGATAAGTGTACTCTTAATCCCCTTCACCTATTTCACCCTTTCCTTCACTCACCTCCTCTCTGGTAACCATTTGTTTGTTCTCCATAGTTAAGAGTCTGGTTTTTTTATTTGTCCCTTTTTTTTTTCCTTTGTTTTGTTTCTTAAATTCCCCATATGAGTAATATCCTATGGTACTTGTCTTTCTCTGACTTGTTTTGCTTAGCATTATGCTCTCTAGATCTATCCACATTGTTGTAAATGTCAAGATTCCATTCTTTTTTATGGCTGAATAATATTCCATGGTGTGTGTGTATGCACACATATCACATCATTTTTTTTAAAGATTTATTTATTTATTTTAGAGAGAAAGAGAGAAAACAAGCCGGGGGGTGGTGGGGAGCAGAGAGAGAGAGAGAGGGAGAGAATCTCAAGCAGACTCCCCGCTGAGCATGGAGCTGATGAGGGGCTCCACAACCCTGAGATCATGACCCGAGCCAAAATCAAGAGTCGGACACTCAACCAACTGAACCACACAGGTGCCCCTACTACATCTTCTTCATCCATTCATTTATCTATCAGTGGACACTTCGGTTGCTTGCATAATTTGGCTACTGTAAATAATGCTGCAATAAACATAGGGGTGCATGTATCCCTTTGAATTGGTGTCTTTGTATTCTTTGGGAAAATACCCATTAGTGCAATTACTGGATCATAGGGTAGTTCCATGTTTACTTTTTGAGGAACCTCCATACTGTCTCCCACAGTGGCTGAACCAATTTGCATTCCCACTGACAGTGCAAGAGGGTTCCTTTTTCTCCACATCCTTGCCAACACTTACTATTTCTTGTCTTTTTTGATTTTAGCCATTCTGATGGGTGTGAGGAGATTACTCATTGTGGTTTTGATTTGCATTTCCCTGATGATGAGTGATGTTGAGCATTTTTTCATGTGTCTGTTGGCCATCTGTATGTCTTCTTTGGAGAAATGGCTGTTCATATTGATATTTTTAAAGTGGAATATTTGTTTTTTGGGTGTTGAGGTGTATCAGTTCATTATATATTTGGATACTAATCCTTTATTGGATATGTCATTTGCAAATATCTTCTATTTAGTACGTTGTCTTTTATAGTTTGTTGCTTGTTTTCTTTGCTGTGTCCAATAGATTCTTGACTAAGATCATGCACAGTCTTATTTTGTTATTGATCCTAAAAAGAATGCTTCTAACTTTTCTCTGTTCAGAATGATGTTTGCCCCAGGATTTTTGTAGATGTTTTTGATCACATTGAGGTAATTTCCTTCTTTTCCTGCTTTTCTGTCATAAATAGGTTTTAATAGGTGCTTGAAATGTATCAAATACATTTTTCTGCATTAGTCAACATAATTTTATGTTTTTCTCCTTAAATCTGTTAGTGTCATTTATTACATCGATTGCTTTTCTAATAAAAAAAAAAAAGCCCTTCTGTTCCTTAAAGTAATCCAACATTACCATGATACAATATTTTTCAAATAGTATGGAATTTAGTTAGGCAATATTTTGTTTAGGATTATTGCATTTATTTTCATGTGTTTGATAGGTCTATGTGTTTCCTTTGTCATATATTTTCCCTTGTAACCAGTTTCTCATTTCCTTGAGCATCCTCATGACAACATAAAGGTTAATAAATTAAATAGAAAAAAAAAAAAAAGGTCCTCTGGTGACCTTCTCTTCCACATGCTTTTTAACAGAATTGTCTCTGAGTAAATATATTCCTATGGGGAGAGTCGGGGTTGTCTTATTTTCTTAATATGTCAATAAAAAACTTTGACCTCAGCATGTGTTGTAAAAAGAACACTAGATTCTTATTTCGACTTTAGCTGTAGTTATACTCTCTTTGCTCTGTGATCTTAAGTTACTTAACCTCTCTTACCACCAATTTCTAGATTTAACAACCTGGTTTTCTGACCCTTTTCTTTTAAATTCTAATCATGTATTTACGTTTATCACTTCCAACAGTATGGTTCTGAATTGGTGGAGACGTCGAAAAGCTCGGACCAACTCTGAAAAGCTGTACAGTAGATGGGAGCAGGATCATGACCTTGAAACTTTTGGATCTCTTGGGCTATTCTATGAGTATTTAGAAACAGGTAATTTTTAACCACTTTCTTGAAACATAGGGTCAGGCTGAGTAAAGTGAGTTTTTTTAGCTCTTAATATTTCTTCCTGCCTTGCACCTAGTAGGTGTCCAATAAACCGTTGAATGGTGGATGAAAAGACAGGTGGTTGGATATATTCCTTACTAGATAGAATGAAGAATGAAGTTTAGTTTCAAAACGGCAATGTTAGAGATGTATTTCCTATCACTGAATGTTAAGATTGTTGAACCAATAAAGTAAGGATCACTTTTTAACTCCTGTCTCAAATTAGCTTGCATAGCTATCCTGTTTGCCTCACTGACAGCCCAGAGAGAGAATAAGTTGAAAGACATGTCCAGAGTCTGACATACATTTAGTGTAAGTCCTTTATTTCAGGCTGAAAAGAAGCGGGCTAAAAACAGTTGTGTAGGGGAAGTTCACGTTGAACACAAGAAATGCATAAAAAATGCTAAGGATTGAACAGAGAAGAGATTTTGAGGTGAAATATTAGGAGGGATGATGATGGAGACTGCTTATAAAGTCTACTTAAATGTTTCCTCTCAAGTTACTTCTCTGTTTCCCTGGTAAAATTAAGGAGGACATTTTGCTTTACTTACTCTCAAGGCCCATAAAAGTATGGTGGAATGAAAAAGTGACCTGAAATTGCTACTGATTCTCCACTGTGATACATATACATGATACCTGGATTGAAATAGATGAATTTAGGACAAATCAAGAGAAGTCTGTTTCATATAGCTGGTTGTAAAATTGGGCAGTCCTTGCTTTATAGGGTGATAAGGCTGTAATTTTTAATTAATTGTGTAAGTATCAAATGCATTTGCGCATAAATGCATTAGGGATTATCGCTGAAATTAAGAAATGAAATCAAGGTTTCATAAGAAAATTAACTACCATTTATTGAGGCACAGCTGAGTTAGTTTATTCTGGATGTTTTATGTACATTATCGCTAATCTTGAAACATTCCACAGGGTACTCATTATTCACTGCATTTTGTTTTTAGAGGATACTGAAATTTGGATGGGTCAATTTATGCCATGTGCCACAAAGATTTTTAAGTAAAATGTGGGATTTGAACCCAGAAAATTCGAGTTATTTCTACATAATGCTTCCTCTGAATTTTCTGTCTTTTAGTTCAGTAGAGGTGTTCAGTTGGGTTAGTAAATGGCAAGGCTAATTCTTTTGAGAAACTCCTGTGAGAAAAGTTGAAATCCAGAAACACTTGAGATTCATCTAAAAATAGAGGACTAGTAGAAGAGTCTTTCTTTCTCCCTTCAGTGGAAAGGCATTCCCATATCTATTATATGGTTTCCACTCATGTGGGAAGCCCAGACTGCCAGTTGAATGCATTCTTGTACCTCAGTCATTGTTGGAAACAAAAAAACAAAAATGGGAAAAGAAGCTAACTTACATAGGTGTTAAGTCTTAGTGAGGAAAGAGAATAAAATTTATTTAGGAAGATGTCAAGATAGGATAGAAGATCAGGACCTTAACAAACACCTCATTGCAAAAAATTGTGTATTTTCTTGGCCCACATATAATTTATATATGTTGTGATGCTTTAGATGACTCATTTTCTGATTTATTCTCAAATATCTTCCTTTGCACTGCCTTTTCAATTGTTAGCATCTTCCAACCTTAAACAGTATAGTTTGTACACTGTTGTAGTTGGATATGTTTATATACCCAACACATGCTGGCTCTTGGAAGCATACAAATGAATCAGTCATTATCCCTGATCTCATAGATTTAGCAAGATAGAAAAACTTGATTACGCCACTAATGTGTCACTACCAGTGTTAAGACTAGACCAGCATAGACCTAAACATAGCCCCTAATAAAAGGGTATGTTTTAAGAAGAATAAAGAGAATCTCTTATCTAACAAGAAGAGATGCTTTCTTCATCTCTGACATCTTCCTCATCTGACAAGCAGATGTCAAAAGAAACAGCAAGGGCAGAACTGTGCTGTACATGCCCAGTTTCTCCTTTCTATTCTAGCCAGTAACTAAGTCACTATGCTTCCAGTGGGGAAGAGGTGGGCAAATGGAAAGAGGCCTGGAGTGTTTTGCTGGTGTAGATCCCTCCAAAATGAGGACATTGCAGGATTTGGGCAAAGTTTTCCTCCTTTTCTCCTTCACAATAACGAGTTCACTAATTTTTCTTTTTTCCCTACAGTTATCCAGTTTGGATTTGTTACATTATTTGTGGCCTCTTTTCCTCTGGCTCCTCTTCTTGCTCTCTTGAATAATATTATAGAGATCCGAGTGGATGCCTGGAAACTTACAACTCAGTACAGGAGACCCGTTGCTGCTAAAGCTCACAGCATAGGTGTTTGGCAAGACATTCTTTACGGAATGGCTGTCCTTTCTGTTGCAACTAATGTAAGTGGACCAATTTTGCTTGGGTGGCTTTGTATTTTATTTTGTTTTCTGGGGGATGGGAAGCCATGAATGATGCTTAACTCAGTCTTTTTCTGTGTTGACTTCATCATGGTGACAGTCCATAACGATAAATCATCCCTACACTTTATTTTTTTTAGAGAGAGAGAGAGAGAGCATGTGGGTGAATGGGGGTCGGAGGGAGGAGCAGAGGGCGAGGGAAAGAGAATCTTAAGCAGGTCCACGCCCAGCACAGAGCCCAACACCAGGCTCGATCTCACAACCCTGAGATCGTGACCTGAGTCGAAATCAAGAATCAGATGCTTAACCAACTGAGCCACCCAGGTGCCCCCCATCTTTACACTTTTATGCACTAAACAACATAGAGAAATTCAGGACATGCAAACTCTTAGAAATACAAGGAAAATTGTAAAACCACTCTCCTTGAAATACCATGATAGAGTTTCATAGCACATGACAAAGTAGACAGAAAATATGTAATGCTATATAAAAGATTTGACTAACACAATTAAAGCTTGATTACACATGATGTTGTATACTACAAATAGAGAATATACAACATTTACATGTTATGTTTATGGAGCACTTATTAAAAAAAAGATAATAAAGCTAAATTCCCCAAAAGCAGAAATTTTTACAATATATATTTATATACAATAATGGTGTAAAAATTGAAGTTGATAATAAAGATAATTTTAAAAAAATCTAACCACCTAACATTCACACTTCTAAGTAAACTTTATTGTGTAAAGAGGAAGCAAAATTGAAATTATAAAGAGTACTTAATTAAAATGAAAACCTATAGGAATTAGCTAAAACCACAGTTACAGAAAAATTCATAGCAATAAATGCTGTTATTATTAAAAAAGAAGACTTGAAAGCATGAGCTGAGCATGAGTTCAGAAACTTAAGGAAAAATATAAAACTAATCAACAGGAAGTAGTAAGAAATAATTAATACAGATATAATCAGAAATAGTCAAATTGGAAAACAAATAAAAAGCAGTATAATTCCTAAGTGAATCAAGAGTTGGTTCATTGAAAATACGTATAAAATAAACAGAACTCTGAAAATCTCCAGCAAGAAAAAAAGATTTACAAGATACAGGTGAGAAAATTATGAGACTGTTATATGTTCCTTTGTTCCAATAAATTTTAAAATCTATTTGAAATTGTCACCTTTTTAGAAAATAAAAACTGCCAAAGTTTATTCAGTAACTGATAGAAAACCTGATTGGACCAGTAGCTATCAAAGTAATATTAAAAGTTTTTTAAAAAACTACCACTAAGGGGCGCCTGGGTGGCTTAGTCGGTTAAGTGTCTGCCTTCGGCGCAGGTCATGATCCCAGGGTCCTGGGATCCAGCCCCATGCGCATTGGGCTCCCTGCTCAGCGGGGAGCCTGCTTCTCCCTCTACCCCCTGCTCATGCTCTCTCCCGCTATCTCTCTCTCTCTCTCTCAAATAAATAAATAAAATCTTTACAAAAACAAAACAAAACAAAACAAAACAACCTAGCACTAAAAATGTAGAAGGCAGAGCCAGATGGTTTTAAATGGACTTACCTAACCTAAAAGAAACATGGTATTTATACCATTCCAGAGCTTAGGGAAGGATGGGAAAAGACCATTCCTATAGAATCAAATATTGAAATTAATTGCACTGAACTGTGGGAAATTACCCATCACATTGTCTTCTCTCTTCCCATTGCCTCCCCACCAATCCCCTACCAGTATGAGGGCATGTATGTGCACGCACAGACGCATATACACACACCGTCCTAGCTAATGAAGTTGGTTCAGGCAAATGAATTTGGTTAAGGACAGTAGAAATGTACTTTGAAACAGATGTAAAAAATAACAAGGCACAGTGGAAAAAGCATGATTTTTGGAGCTAGATACATTTAGGTTCAGTTTTCAACTTGGCCGCTCTCTAGCTGGGAAACCTTGGAGTACTAGATCATACACCTGAAAAGGACTATTTCATGTTGTAGACCAAAGACTCCTATATTAACGTAATTTGTAATAGCATTTCAATCGTTTGCATCCATATGGAACGGAGAGGTATGTAAATCAGACGTTTTAAAACCTAGATCGTTAGCTCAAGATTTCCCTCTTGCTTTTTCTTTCAGGCTTTTATTGTTGCATTTACATCGGACATCATTCCCCGTTTAGTTTACTACTATGCCTACTCAACAGATGCCACTGAGCCCATGAGAGGATATGTCAACGACAGCCTGTCAACATTCCTCATAGCTGATTTTCCAAACCACACGGCACCTTCGGAAAAACGAGACTTCATCACTTGCAGGTTTCCTCTTGATTTCTTAGCTTTCAGTTTTGCTTTTTAAAATGTATTTTTTAAGCTCTCCATTTCCTCCATGGCTTGAGATGCAAAGGATTTACTTAGGGCAAGTGCATCAGTTTTAGACTTCACTCTTCGTATGAATCTGATTTGGAAAAGTAGAATGTCCAAAAATAAAAGAATATTATGGATAAAAATAATATCAATTTTGAATTGTTTCTTATTTTCTAAATTTATTGGAGAGATTTCGCACCAACAAATGCCCCTTGGTCCCAAGATATAATATCTATTAGATCATACAGCATGATCATATTATATCTGCATTTAACCTACTTGAATTTAACTATATGTTCTTAAAAAGAGATAGACTGAGAAAAGGAGAAATAATATGATAAAATTACCATCCATCCCATGTAAAGGGTTTCTTCTGTGCAGGGAGCATGAAATTAGATTTGTGAACCTGTTTCCATACTGAGGGTCTCATGTACTGTGAGGGTCTTTTTACTGTATGATTTAAAGATTGTATATAGTAAATACATATGACATAAAGATTTTATATATAGTACATAAAGATTATATATATATATATATATATATATATATATATATATATATATATAAAATACATATCTAGTACATCAAGACCACTTAACTTAAACCTTAAGCAAACTACTTCATCTGGGAAACAGCAAGAGACAGCAAAATGTTGGTAGACACACAGGTAGACCAAACCATTGTTAGATTTTAGATTTGCATATAGGGGAATCATAATATGGTGTTTAGGAGCATGGACATGTGTCCATTTTCTTGATTTCATCACTTCCTAGTTGGACTAAATCTTTGAATAATATCAATGTCTAGCAACTTTGTAGAAAACAGTGAGCTTACAAAGTTGAGCACTAAGAAAATCCAGAAGAATAGTAAGAAAAATAAAAACAATGCAGTGTCAGGTAAGCCAAAAGAAAATAGAGTTTTAAAAAAATAAAAACAGTCAACAGTGTCAAGTCCTATTCTCAAAAGATCACAAAAGATGAGGATTAGCATGTTTCTTCAGTTTAATGACAGGAGACAATGTGTGTCAGTGGAGTGGTGGATAGAACTACGTGTGTTAAGGAGTAGGAAGAGAGTGAATGGAGACAGAATCATTTTGCTGACTCTTGAGAAATTTGAAGGGCAGGAGAGAAGTTTCACTTGTGTCTCCTGCTACACCAGTCTATATTTAAGTAACATGTAGCCATGATTTTTATCTGTGCAAAAATGAAATGTATCATAATAGCAGTTAACTTCCTATGACTTTACTTTTGTAGTCAATTAAAAGTGTCTCTTAAGAGAAATAATGCTAGGTCTCTATTTGAAGCTATAGCTAATTTTTTTTATTTACCTCTGTTTTTCAGGTACAGAGATTACAGATACCCTCCTGATCATGATCAGAAATATTTTCATAATATGCAGTACTGGCATGTCCTCGCTGCCAAGATGACCTTCATCATTGTTATGGAAGTAAGCCTCTTGTAATTTGCATTCCAGTTAGTCTGTCCTCTCCCTTCAGATTTCTAAAGGTATCTGCTCAGCAGAAAATTAGTATTATCTCAGTAAATTGTTTTGAAGGAAGTATTCGTTGTCCTGAAGAGCAACTTAGGGATATTTTCAGTACAATGGGTTGTTGCCTATTATTCACCTACTATTGTTGAAGATATCAAGGTGACATAAAGAAAGAAAAAACAGGGCCTCTTCCCTCGAGGTCAGGAAAAGGACAGAGAATGCACGGATTTTACTGAATAGCTAATACATACTGGTTCCAGACACTGTGATAATAACCTTGTAAGTTAGACTTTATTATTCACTCTTGAAAAATGAATCTGAGACTCAGCAGAATTGGCAGTGGGTTTAAAGATAATCAGCTAATATTGGAGCTGGGTTTCAATGCCAGATGTATCACTCCCAAGCATCTGCTCTGTCCACTATATTATGTTACCCCTTTGTGGAATATCTAATCTTATTATGGATATAGGGCATGCATTAAAAGAGAACAAATACACACGGGGGATGTGGGTAAGTTTCATAGTAATGTTCTATATCAGAAGACATGAGGACCAATAAAGGAGACAGAAATAAAGGTAAGGCACTTTTTTCACTCTGCCATGAAGTTCAGTAGTAGTCAAGTCTAATGCAAGCACACACAAATTCTACATGATGAAAAAGAGAGCAGTCTTATGTATATCCCTCCCCATATTTTTCTTTCTCTCTCTCTCTGTTCTTTATGACTTTATCACTCTTTCATTCCCATATTTTCCATCATAAGTTTAGATCACCTTTCAGTCTGGTCAATTGCACCAGGGATTTTTTGATTTTTGTTTATTTATTATTCTATTAATGTTTTTAATTATGCCAGGCTCTGACTCACTATCATCCTGGGACTTTTCTTCACCTTCTCTTGTATTGAAAACTGTATTTTCTGTGGTTTGTGTTTCTCCCATTCTTGGTTTACTAGCTTATTTTGATGAAGTACATTTTTCATAATTTTCTGAGGAAAATTATGGGTGGTCATTTGTAGAGACCTTGAATATTGAACATTTCTTTTCTTTCCTCAGAGATGATTAAATGGTATAGAATTCAAGATTGGGAGTCATTTTCCCTGAAAAATTTTCAACCAACTTTATTTAGGTATTCCTGACATTTCTGAAGACATTGCTCTATTTTCTGTCAGCTTCAATGTTGTTATAAAATGCATTACCATTCCAATTCCCCAGTCTTTGTTTATGATATTTTTATAAATCAGTAAGCTTTAAGGATTCTCTCACTAGTCCTTCTTTTATGAAACATCACAAGACAGTTTCTTGTTATTGGGTAGTACTCATTTTTCTGGACACTCGCTGAGCCCTATGGATCTGAAAATGTACTTACCCTTCAAGTCGAGAAAATTTGCTTGTACATATTATTTTTTTAATTATTTCCTTCTTTTCTCTATTCTGTCTTTCTGGAAGTTCTATTACTCAGGTGTTATACTTCCTATTTTGAAATTGTAATTATTTTCTCTCCTATGAATAGATGAACTCATGTTTTTGTCTTTTTATTCTGCTGTTCTTTTGCTCCTTCATTATCTGTTTCCTCTTAGTTTCTGTTTGTCCGTTTCAATCTTTTTCTTTTGCATTAGAGACTTTCTTATGTATTTGCCAATTCTTGGCAATCTGCTCATACTTAAGAGTGAATAAATGAAAGCTGATTATACGCTTTGTGTGCATAGAGGAGGAATGTCACTTGGTAGGTTTCACTGTAGGGTGATGAGGTAGTGAGGGGACCTTTTTATTTGAAACCTACAAAATTTGGTATCTGCAGTTCTAATTTCACAGACTACTTACTTTTCCCAGAGAAAAGTCCTCCAAACTCCTTTCTGTTGAGCTCTTTTATGGCTGCCTGTGTTCTGAGAGCTGAACAAGACAAAGAAGACTAAGGATCTTAGGATGCACTGAATTTCACTTAGTGGCCCTATTTTCAGTATGGCGCCACTCCTCCATCCTCCACTGTCTCTGGTGCTCCTGAGTTCACAGCTTCCTGTTTTGATTTTTGCACAGAGTAAATTACTCATTTGCTGCCAGGTTGGGGAGAAGTAGTACCTGGATGACGATGGGAGAGAGGTCCTGAAAATTCCAACTTTTCCTTATACCAAATGTTGGCTAATCCTCTGGTTTTCAACTCCACCCACATGTATGCTTTCAAAGTCCTTAGGACCAACTTTCCTGAGCTTTATTGAAGATCTAAAGAAAGATGGCTTTTGACTTGCTGGGATTTACCACCATCATGTCACCAATTGCAATTTTAAGTGTCAGCTTTCTTTACTCTCGAGTCTGTTGTCACTGTTCCCTCTTTTTTTTTTTTTTTTTGTCTTTGTGAGTTACACCATTTTTTAGAATTCCCTTACAAATATTTTATTAGGTTCTCAGGAGTGAGCACAGATAAAGAGAATATTCAATAACCATGATCAACTGGAATTTCTGTAATTATACATTTTAGTATATATTTATTTGTTTAATGTTTGTCTTTCTGGGAAAGTTCCAGGACAGGAACCATATCTTTTTGCTTTTCCTCATGCCTTCTCTGTTGAGCACGGTCTATTGAATGAATGATTTGTAAGAACTTCCCGCTGAACATTTGACAATTCTAACAGTGTCCTTGATTTTCTTTTATGTGTCCTCCAGCATGTTGTGTTTTTAGTTAAATTTTTGTTGGCCTGGATGATCCCTGATGTTCCAAAAGATGTTCTGGACAGAATCAAGCGAGAAAAGTTAATGACTATCAAGATTCTCCATGACTTTGAGCTTAACAAATTAAAAGAGAACTTGAGAATTAATTCTAGTGAACTTGCCAAACAAGTCTTGATTCAGGAAAACAAAGCACAACTGGCTAAATCAGCAGTCTAATCAACATACTGAGCAAGCAACTGGTTGCCTGTCTGGCTTCAGGATTTTCCCTGGGTTTTGGGCTAGAGGCCAGAAGGCATGTGTCAATTTCACCCCACCTCCTCTTCCTTCTTTTTTAATTCAAAGTTTTTGTACACTTCTACAGAGGCCACCTTTGTGAGATTGGAAGAATACCACTTGTCTGCTTCATTGGCTGAGCTCTCCCCAGATATTGTTTTCTGGAGTTCTAGAAATGATTGTTAAAAGGGCATGTTGAATCAGAATATTGGAAAATCATGGAATGTTGCAGTTTAGAATTAAACACTGGACTTGGGCTGCCGCATCACATTCCAGTGCATCTGCACATTTTCATGGTCTTCTATTGGGTTGTTTTATAACTCCTTCCCATCAAGAAAAATGTTGGGACAAAAAGAAAGGAAGTGAAGAGGCCCCCTGAGCCATGTATATCCTGCCATCGCAGACTATGTGAATGAAAAACCAAAATCAGATAACTTAAGAAAACTCACATATTAAAAATGTTGGGTAGATATCATGGCATGGGTTTGTTCCTGAAATCATCCTGAGTAAGTTAAGTTAAACTTCCATCAGAATCCCAGATTCCCCTTCCAGGTCAATGCAGAATTGATTTTTCAAGAGACTGAACATTTGGGTTTCAACAAAAGACTAACAACTCTGTTCTTTAAAGACAACATTTTGGTAACAGTAGTTTCAAGGCTGGATTGTCTTATCTGGAAAACAGCATTAAGAAGTTGTTAGGTTGCTTCAGTTCTTCAAGTAAATGAAAGAGATTGTAGAGAAGTAAATGTGTCTTCTTAGTAGTTAACAAATGCAAGACAATGAATATTGATTAATTTATTGACCTCAATCTGAAAAAATGGTTGAATTATTTTTAAAAATCATTTTTCTTCTATAATGCGTATTTTGCATCATGAAGCCTGTTTGAGTATTAGCTCTTTGTATAAGTTAGGTACAAGTTGTTTATGAAATTTGATCTCTCTGTTTAAAGCAATCTTGAATCTTTTAATGAGTTTACACTGTTTTCTATTGATGCATCATTTCATACAAGCTCAGTGCCTTCTCCCTATGCCTTTGACACACAAGAAGTGGTTGTGCTGTTCATCTGACGTGATGTGACATCTCAAATATTAGCTTGTTTTAGAGAAATTGTCAATTTAACATCAGTCACAGAGTTTAACACCAAAAGTAGATCAACCAAGTAAGAAGGGGGTGATGGATTTGATAGCTAAGTGGGATAAAATTAATTGCATTATTTCTCTCATACTTAGGCCCATGGCACATGTATACCAGTTCTTCTTTCTCTTAAAAAAAAAAAGGTATATATTTTTAACACTATAAAGTGAGAGATACTGTTCAGATATAGTACTTGCATCTCTAGCTTCAAATTACACTTCAGTTCCAAAAGAATAGTGTTTTTTTAATTGCATACCAAAGAAGAAACTTTATCACAAGATATTTTTTAAAGCAGTTTCATTATTTGATACTAATACATTTTTGTAGAATTGCCAATATTAAGTTTATGGCAGGTAGTATTAATTAATGATCGATATTAAGCATGTAGAAATGAGGATTATGAATTTTACAAAACCATGAGACAGTTACCCCAATATTGGCAGTAATGACTTGTCATCCACTGGGTAGATTTTATAAAAAACATTTTTGTGTAATTTAAAATGATCTCATATTAAAGAATGATTTCATAGGAGGAGGAGACCTATTTCTTGCTTGAGAACACCAGTCAGTGTTACTATGAAATAAGCCACAGATGCAGTGTCTTTGGCTTGTCATATCAAACTCTGTGTTACTACAGTGTTGTCCCTTTGCACAGTTCATACATATTGCTTTCTTCCTAGGTGCTAATAAAAATAAGGAAGAGTATGGAAATTGGTTTCTTGGATATAAGTTTTAGTTTGTATGGCTTAACAGTATTTATAGACCTAGAGTGTTAAGATAAATAAAGACAAATTTAATTCAAAGTTATCTGTACACTGCAATCTTAAAAACAAACCAACTCCAGCATCAGGTTTCTAGAATATATGGAGAAATAGCAAGAGAGGAAATAGTTTTAAGACAAGTAAATAGTTCCTATGATTGGTAGATATTTCCTTTTAAAATGTTATTGACAAATACTTTGTATTCATGTTTCCATTTTCTACCAAGAAATTTCTCCTTGTTTCACAGATTTTAAAATGAAATACAAGTATTCCTCCCTTTCATAAAAGCTTGCTAACCAAAATCTAAAGCCAAATCAATTCGGGTAGATTTGGCTTATCTAATTAAACTCATGTTATTATGGGAGAGCTGAATTAAGAGCACCTGACTACCAAATGTAAGTTGATATTTATCATCATGGCTGATGTTTTTATCATCCGATCAAACCCATACTTATTTTTTTCAGAAATGTCCCAGGAAACATTGGGATTTTGAGATTTTATTTGAAATAATTTTAAGTGCAAAAATAAAACAAAAATTACATAATTCTTTCAAATGTCATCTCTAATCCTTTCCTTCATTAGTTTTTCTTTGCACACAAGAAGCAGAATCCTCTTCAAAACATTTATTTTAGAGGAATCCATCAAGAAGGGAATATCTTAATTAGATGGAATGCTGTCCTATTTTTGCTGCATCTCATGACTCCTCTTGGCTTTAACATTCTTCTCTTAACTAAGCCATTAAGCAAGTTATCAAGAAGATGGAAAGAAGTTGATAAAGAAGAGGAGGGACAGAGAATGAATGAGATAAAGAGTTCTGTCCTTATAAAGCTATGCATGCTTCCATGGGAAAGACATTTGTGGAGACAGCATGGTGCAGCTGTGGGTGGTAAGAGGAACGTCTCCCCTAAGCCATCTTAGGATGAGAGGAAGCCAAAGAAGTTTCAAGTTGAAAACTGTTCCAGGTCAAAAGTAAAACTTGGATTCCCAAGTGATTTTGTACTGTCAGGTGCCATGTGCAGCTGTGAATCTCTGTTGATTGACTCCAGTCGAGGGTGAGGAGTTTGTACTGCTCATTCAAAAGGGGAATCTACTGTTTTGAAAGAACCTCCCTATAATAGTTGTTTTTAATTAGCAATAGTTATTATGTTATCAAAGAATGTTAACAGGGAAAAAAGCATTTCCAGAAGTACCATTGGCTAGGCTTTGAAGTCTGCTACCATGATTCACTATAACTATTACGTTATTCTTTTTCTAGACAAATTTTTACTCTTCTGCTTTATGTGTGATAATTCAAGTATGTCTGTTATTCCAGCACTATGTAAAACTTCATGAGAATATTAAAAAGAATAGCACAGTTCAATGTATATGAGATACCTTCTTCCATTCCCCCCCGAAAACATTTGACTAAGAATGTCTTTCCTATAAGTGATTTTGTGCCATGGTTAACCAAGAAAATAAGTACTCCTTTTTCTTTTCTTTCTTCCATTTTTTTCCCTCCTCCAAGGTGATGTATATGGAGTTACGCAGGGGAAGTTGCTCTTTAGTAACATGTATGTAAATCTCAAGATTCAAACTCATACAGTGAATAAAGTAATACTTTGACATGAATTCAATTTATTCTTACAGTAAACTTTGATGTAATTCTTCTGAATTTGAGTGCTCTCAAAAGGTTTTTAAGCCTCTTTTTGTTTAGAAACATTAAATGCATTACATGTAACATGTTTAATTCACCAGATTACATGTTTGTGACATTTAGAGGTGCAAATTCCTCAAAATAAGAGGCTGCATGGTCCAGAAAATTTGGAGAAAGTGGTACTTTTTGTTGTTTTGCCTCTTTATTTTTTTCTGCTTTGGGAAGTTGATAAAGGTGAATAGAAAGCCCCAGGAGAAAAATAGTATGTTGAGATATATTCTGAATAAAAATCCCATCTTTCTGAAAAAGAAACCCACATCCACATACATTGGAATTATCTGGGATATTTGTGAGAAATTCATATCCCTTGGTCCTATCCCAGATCTCTAGGATCAAAATCTTTGGGAGAAGAGCTTTAAAAAATCTCCCAAGTTACATTTTACTCAAGAATTTCCTCAGAATGCCACATTTCCTAGCCTAAAGCACTTTTTCATAATAGCTCCCAAACTTGTCATTCCAACTCATCAAGGAGGTATGTCAAGGCAGGTAGACTCGGGATTTCCAAGTTCATAGAACTGTTCTAATTCTGCAGTGTGCAGAAGTAATCCGAATCTTATACCTTAAGAGCCCTAGACTTGTAGTTTCTACTTAATTAAAAAAAGAGAGAGGATAAAATAAAATATATTTGCTTTTACCAGTATATTCAAGAAAAGAAAAGTGCACACTGGTCAGAAGTCAAGGTGACTCCACCACATTCTTTGTAAGAAAGACAAATTTTAGGTTGAAAGAATTTAATCAGGACAGCGAAACTATGAATATTATAGAATAAAGAATTTGTTATAGAAAAATATGCCTTTTGAAACTGTGAAAGTGGGAAGCAATGGTGTGGAAGGGAGATTTGAAGGATCAGAGAAAGGCACTGTTCAGCTCTCCTGGAACACTGCAGTTGGTGGACAAATTGGACCACTTACAGATATTCAAGAGCTGAAGTGAGACTGGGAAGGAGGGCAAATGAAGGAGTCTTTGGAAGGTCATTGCTTCCCTAAAGCTACTTCTGTGAGTTTGCAGCCCAGCTTCCCTGCTGGTCAGCAAGATCTGGACATGAAGTGGAGAAGAGTGAGACAAGATTCCTGTCTATGTGTCCTTCATCTATCTGTCTGCAAAGATCTCCAGAGGGAAATAGCAGCTGCTTCACTTCTGTCTGCCTCTTTTGCAAATCTCACTGACACCATCTAAGGAAAAGACTTCTGGGAATTACAGCTCCAGCTTAACCAAAACTACCATATAAACAAAACTTTACCAAATTAATGAAACTATTGATCATCTGGACGATGTGACTAAAAAACGAAGCCAATTTGCCTTCATAAAACGTTGTATTCAATAACTAAGAATAGGAATTTCTTTTCAAGAACGTTGTAAACACAAAATCTGACCAAATGCAAGGCCATTAAAAAAAAAAAAATTTCAAAGGACTAAAACCAGAAGGTAATTTTCTCTGTCTATAATAAAATGAAACTAGAAAACAATAATAAGATAACTAGAAAATTATGTGACAGATTTTGAAATAATTTGTGAATCAAAAAATCAAAATAGAACCTAGAAGACCTAATTACATAGAACTAAAAGTACTGAGCAGCTCAAATTTTGTGAGTGTACTAAATACTTGTGGGTTGCTTTTAGGGGAAGCATATAGCCTTCAGTTAGGCTATTCAAACAGAACAAAGAAAAAATAGGCTAAGCATCAAAAGAAATTAGAGAACAGCAATGAAACAGAAAGGAAAAGGAAGGAGAAATGGATTTAAGAGGAGAAATTAATAAAAAGCTTACAGAAAACATCATTTTTAATGGGACTATGTTAGACCCACCCCTTTTATTATTAGCAACAAGAAATTACACTTCCAGTAGTAATAGCCTGGGTTTTGTTCAGATCATGGAAACTCTGAGAACAACTAGAAAAATTGGGTAAAATGTTTTAAAAAGTTGGAAATATCAGAATTACAAAGCAAAGGGGGACTTCCAGCCTTTTAGAATCAGTATCCAGGAGAGGGGAGAAAAACATAGTGAGCAAGGTCAGCCCGTGTTTGTGGTGATTTTTCTCCTTAAGGAAATTGGGAGTTTCCAAAAGCAAAAGTACTAGCTAAAAGGGAGAGAAGCTGAGCTGAGCTTTCGACAGACTTAGGGCTTTGGAAAAATATTTAAGTTCAGGGCCCGATAAACTAGCCTTGGTAAATTCCAGGGCTGTCTGTTGAGTCTTCACGTATAAGGACACAGAGAGGTTGAAAGGCACAGAATGGAAAAAAGATACTCCATGGAAATACTAACTTAAATGAAATAAGATAGATCTATACAAATATCAGGCAAAGTAGATTGTGAGGCAAGATGTAATAACTAGAGTTTGAGATATTTTATAATGAAAAAATGGTAATTTTTAAAAGAATACATAGCTATTCTAAAGATGTATATCTAATAACATACAAGAAAATACATAAAAGAAATGTTGGTAGAACTAGAAGGGATAATAAATCCACAACCATGTTGATATGCTCTTGTAACAGGTAGAGTAAGCAGAAAAAAGAAAATGCAACAAGGACGTGGAATATTTAACTATGCAGTCAATCAACATGACATAGAGATAACATTACATCAAAAATAGCAAAATACACATTCTGTTCAAGGGCACATGGAATTTACTAAAATGGGCCATAAAGCAAATACAATTTCAGAGAACTGAAATCATTTAGAGTATGTTCTCTGACCACAGTGGATTAAACTAGAACTCAGCAACAGAAAGATAATTAGAAAATTTTCAAAATATCTGGAAATTAAGCAACACAGTTCTCAATGCCATATGGATTAGAGGAGAAATCTCAATGCATATTAGGTAACATTTTTAAATGAAAATGAATATTGACATTTCATGATTGGTGGTCAGCAGCTAAATCACTGTTTTAAGAAAAATATCTGGATCTTAATGCATACATTAGATGAAATTATGAAAATAGATTAAGCTTCTATCTCAAATATATAGGAAGAAATTAGCAACATAAACTCAAAGAATGGAGAAAAGAGCAAGAATAAAAATAAGATAGAAAGCAAGCATATGACAGAGAAAATTAACGACAAAAGTCGATTCTTTGAAAAAGCTAACAAAATTGATAAATGCCTAGCAAGAAATGATCACAAGACAGAGAAATCACAAATTACCAAAATCAGGAGACTATCTTCATGGCTGGGAATAAGCAAAACAATAACAATTAAAGAAATGGTAGATACATTAACTTCTTTAAAATTAGGAAGGTCTATTCAATAAAGGACAACATTAAGAGTGTGAAAATATATGCCACAGATAAAGTATTTCCAAAATGGCTCATACCCAGGGGCACCTGGGTGGCTCAGTCGTTAAGCGTCTGCCTTCGGCTCAGGTCATGATCCCAGGGTCCTGGGATAGAGGCCTGCATCGGGCTCCCTGCTCGGTGGGAAGCCCGCTTCTCCTTCTCCCACTCCCCCTGCTTGTGTTCCCTCTCTCGCTGTGTCTCTCTCTGTCAAATAAATAAATAAAAATCTTAAAAAAAAAAATGGCTCGTACCCAGAATATATGAGTAAGTTCTATAAATGAAATAAAGACTGCCCAATTTTTAAAAGTGGTCAAAAGACTTTAAATAGACATTTTACCAAAGAAGTCCAAATTACCAATGAACTATGGAAAGGTAAACAGCACTGTTAGTTCTAAGAGAGATGCCAGTTAGACCAGTACACCCTTACCTGAATGGCAAATATGAAATGACCGACAATAAAAGTGTTGAAAGGAAAGAAGCCAGTGGAATTCTCAGCCACTGCTGATGGGACTGAAAATTATTACCAACACTTTGAAAATTGCTCGGTATGAGCTACTAAATCTAAACAGTTTATCCTATGACTGAACAATTTTTAAATACTTAAATCCACCAGAAGACATGTAAAGAATGTCCATAGCAGCTTTATCTATTATACTCCAAACTAGCTACCATCTAAAAATCTAACAACAACATAATGGAGAATTAAGTTGTGTTATATTAATTAAATAGAATGCTAACAGCAATGAAATAATGACATTATTAAAGTTCAAAGAACATAAAAGAAGCTCAACACAAAGGAGTACATTTGCAGTCTAATGTACATGTTTTTGATGTACATAAAGTTAAGAAACATGGCAAGATGAACCCATGATAGTAAAGGTCAGAATAATGGTTACTTTTGGGGGAGTTGTCATTTGGGAGAATGCATGAAGGAATTTCCTGTACTATTGAAAATGTTTTATATTTTCGTCTGAGTTGTGGTTACACAGGTGTATACATAACTGTGAATTCATTAAGCTGTGCATATCTGTTCACTGTACTCTATGAATATTATACATCAATAAAAAATTGAAATTATAACCATGGAATAGGAAAAGGTATTTACAACATATATTCCTGACAAAGATATATCCACAATATTTTTGGAAACTGCTACAAATTTATAAGATAGACAACCTGTTATTGAAAATGTTTAAGAGGCTTAAGCACACAATATTAAAAAAAAAATTCCAAATAGCCAATAAATACTTGACAAAGTACTCAACTTCATTATTATGCAGGAAAATTAGTATGCAGGCAATATCTCACCTGATCATCAAAGTAAAAATTCTCAACAAAATATTAAATCCAATAATGTATAAAAAGAATTATGCACCACGATTCAGTGGCACTCATCCCAGGAATGCTAGGATGGTTCAATCTTCACAAATCAGTTAGTTAATCCGTCAGACCAACAGGCTAATGAAGAAAAATCACATAATCTTATCAATAGATGTAGAAAAAGCATTTGACAAAATCCAACACCCATTCATAATAAAAACTTTCAGAAAATTATTTTTTTTCCATCTCAAAATGGAGGATGGAATCATTTTCAAATTTTAGGTATGGTAATGGCATTATTGCTATAATTTTGACAGTAT